AAAAAATCTATAAATATCTTTTGATTTTCTTAATAAACGATCTGTTGCCTGACCCTTGTTGTCTATCGTTACAGTACCAGATCGTTTATGAGGCAAGGGTTGCATTAACTGAAAGAGCGTTTCAAATTAGTGCGGATCAAACTTGTAACTGCCTTACTGGTAGGTATTTTGTAAAGGCCCTTGTTCTATAGACCCTATTTTGTTGTTTGAGTCGATTTATTTTGGTGCATAACTTATCCCCGTCGCACAAGAGATGGTTTTCGTGGCCAAAGTGGTCCAGTGGATAACGCTTTGGCATTTGAAACGAAGGGGCTAATGGGTTCGAATCTCAATCGGAACATTATCACTCACTCACTGTGGATTGTAGGGTACATCTAGATGACGAGTCCCAAATGGGACGAAATGTGCATGTAATAGATTCCATCGCTAGTCAATATATCCACCAAATAACTTCTAGCTAACTGAATTGTATTCACATGCTTCTTTTCTCTTACAGCTTGAATCTCATCCAACAATTGTTCAGTACAGAGAAGCACTTAAAACAATATGGGCTAAAAATGATATCCTCAATGGTGACCAGTGGATTAAACGACCTGATCCACCCAAGTGTCGACATGGTCGTTTACGTCCAATACGTGATGTTCCGTTTATAACAATTCCTGGTGCAGATGATCAAAGCAGACTTGAAAAGTATGCTTCAGCGACACGAAATCTATTTGGTCTAAAGGGGGTTGTTGAATCAAGGCAATCAAATGTACAGCAGACAAACAGCGCTTAAGGACTTCCCCTTGCTGTTTATCTCATTATTATTGACTAGGTTACTTATATAATTTATAATAAAAGTATACTTTATCCTTGTAAATGATTGTTTCTTATTATTTTGATAATGAGTACAGGGATGTAGCTCATGGGCTCAAAACACTCGATTTTGAGCTGATGGTCCCCGGGTTCGAACTCCTCCCTGCCAACTTCAGTCTAAGCAGCTGGGTTATTATATCACCCGCAGGTCGCCCAAATGACACTTAGTCAGTTGGTTACCAGTGCATGGTAGTATGGTATGTGCAGGAGCCTGTACGTGCACTCACTCTTGCAGATGAGAACCGCCTGAAGTTGCTGACAAGTTCGTGTATCTAGATAGTTGTGTTAGTGCTAGTGGGAGGTGTGGCGGGTGAAATTTATAATCATCTAGTGAAATCTAGGGTGGCAGGGTTGTCATAGGTCGGGTTTGCAGTACTTCTGTGCGTGTAGTCTTGTTCTACGCCTGTGAAGTCTTGGCCTCTCCATAGTGAGGATGTGCAGCAACTCTGCACATCCTGGGACTGGACGTAAAAAAAAGTTAAAGCCAAAGATTACGTAATCAGCTAAAAGAGCGAATAAAGACATCCAGTTACCAGGATGGGCAAAGAAAGACTAATAACTGCTTCTTCTTTCTGAACACATAAATCTGGTTTGGTTCAACCGTTTGATAGAAATTGCTTCGACAAACTTGAGGGGAGTCGAGCTCTTTGTCTATTGATAATTTTAAAGGATTTCGCGATTTCCACCTACCTCATGACCGAGAAGATGTCTGGTAATAGCGCTATTATAAGAGTTTGTTCCCTTGAGATGTAGGCTTTTCGGCACATTTTCAGAAAACCAGAGTTGTTTGTGCCCTTCTTCTCCCTGTTCTCCCAATGTAACTGCTCCCGGAGATACACGTAAATTTGTATACACAGTTGGAGTTAACATGAGAAGGGTATCTATCGACTTTTGACTGCACCAAAGAGCATGTTGTTCGATGGACGGGAACCAACTTAGCTGCAGGATAAGCTCTGGCTAGTGACGTTCTCAGTCTTCTGTTGACCATTTCTGCAATTTTTTCACCTTTAAAATCTAGTTGAATGAAGACAGGCTTTTTTCAACTGTGATTTGTTTGGTATTTTAGCCTTCACATCTTCCGCACTTGTTAATGAATTTTTGAGGGTAACCGTTGTTTTTCAGCACCTTTTCGAGAATCATAAATTCTTCCTCTAGTTTCTCTGCAGAGCATATTCTCCTTGCTCTATAGTGCAGAGTCTTGACTAGTGCTCGTTTATAGCTATTTGGAGTAAAACTATTAAAATGTAAGTATTGTCCATTCCATGAAGGCTTTCAGTAAATTGACCTCTGGAGATTACCATCTTCTAGGCGTTGCATGGCGATGTCAAGGAAATTGAACTTCCCATCATTTTCATGTTCCATGGTAAATACAATATTTGTATGTGCTTTGTTGGATAGACTGAGTAGGTAGGAGGCATGACTTTCGTTGTTGCATACTACAAATGTGTCATCGACATATCAACAATAGGAAGTTGTTTGGTCAGTTGCATGCTTCAACTTTGTTTTCTCAAGGTTTTACATGAAGATATCTGCTAGAACAGGGCTAAGTGGACTGCCCATGGCTACACCATCTATTTGTCGGTAAAGAGTGTTATCAAACTGGAATTGTGCACCCATGGTACACATTAGCAGTAGGCGTTTGAATTCTAACTCTGGTAGTGGAAGAAGATCAGACTGTTGACAAATGATTTCAATGGTTTCATTGATTGGGATCATTGTGAACAAGGAGGTTGCATCAAATGAAACCATGAACTTATTTGAAACGTTCATATGATTCACGCTTTCGGTGAAATGAAATGAGTGTTTTATGGTATGCACGGCTAGCCATCGGTGAATGGGTTCCAACGTCTTCGCAAGCCAATGGGCAATATGTTAAGGAGAGTTGATCATCGTCTTTATTACCTAACTCCTTTACCATTGTATGCATACATTTATTTTGTTTAAACTTGAACTGTCTGTGTAAAAACTATATAAGCGCAATTTTATGAGCACTGTTCGCTAACTGTCAACTGACAACATGTAAAATTTGCAAGTATGTTAAAACTTTTCTGTACGCAAACCTCATAATTTATTTAGGTTGTAAGCAGCTGATGAGAAGCCAACGAAATAAATGATGGTACCATATTATTCTGCACAAACCACTGTTGTTCTTGCTTTATTCAAATGTTCCGGACATCTGGGAAGGTTTACAACCCTCACGACAAATGGGGGGAAATAATGAAAATTATAAAAGTTATTTAATTGAATTTTAGATTTTCCCGTCAATTGATTGGACCAAAGTGTTCGGTCTGAGGTTGAAATGTCGGCTTCTTGTGCAGATGCGTCGACGATGTCTGGGCATGTAATTTGAATTTAATTGGTGGATGGTGACTAGCAGTGGAATCCAGTCAGGATGCTCATTTCGTCCTATTTGGGACTTGTCAACTGGATGTACCTGCATTCCCCAGTGGGTGATGATGTACCTGAGACCTAGGACTTCGATCCAATCAATCGATGGGGAAATCTAAAATTCAATTAAATAATTAATAAGACCCGTTGCACAAGAGGTGGCTCTCATCACCAAAGTTTTCTAGCGGAAAATAATACTCCTTCAATCTGTATGTGTGTGTAATGTGACATATCCATCGAATAAACAAAAATTATGTGGAATTGTTGCATACTACTACCTCAGTGATGTACAACAGAAAACTCAGGAAAGCCTATGAATTGAAGACAGGCGCAAGGTGAAGCTGTCTACTGTCGCCAATGATATTCCAACCCAGTCGGTGAATTTCTTTTTGGGACCTGGGATATGTGGGTAAAAAGTTGGGCAGTTTTACTTTCAAATTTGGGCAAAGTGGGAAAAGGTGGGCTGTTTTCGGTTGTAACATGGGTAAAGTGGGACAATAAAATTTTTCGGGACATGGGCAAACAGGGAAAAAGTGGCCAATATGAGTAAAGTGGGTAAATTATGTAGCATTTACACCATCTTTCGTCCACCTATTTGTCGACCAAAATTACCCATTCAGCGCACGTTTTGACCACGTTGCCCAGGTGCATTCTCTGACTGGGAAATTGTTGTGGACTGGATCACTTACCTAACGTGGGATGTGTGAAGTTGAACCGACGAGAACAATCTAGAAGATATGGACTTTGTGGCTGATTTATATCTGACACCACACAAACTTGCAGATCTGCAGGTGAGAAGCAACAAAGACAGAACTTCAAGTAGGCGTAGAAAAGGTAGAAGTGATAAAGATAACCAACCAACCATCAACAATAACAAGCACTGACCACTATCAACGGAATAAATTTGAAAGACGCTACTTCCTTCACTTATCATTCCAACTAAAGGCTGTACGGATGAGGATTTCAAAGACGACCAGCATCGGAAAAGGAAGACGGACCTTCATCACCATAAAATCAGTTTGAAAATCAACTGAACTCAGCGCAAAGTGGAAATATTCAGGTTTTCAATATTTATATTACATCATTACTTCTATATAGGTCAGAAGTTCGGCACATCACGCGGAGCATTCTCAACAGGCCAGTTCAAACTTTTATCAACATCTGCCTTCGCTAGCTGTCCTTACTGAAGATCAAATAGCATGCCAGAAACGATTAGCAACAAGAAACTCTGGGAACAAATCAATGAAGAACCTGTTTCTCAACAAGCATCCCGACAACAATGGAGATGAATCAAACACATGCAGGGAAGACTGCTAAATAATAACATCATGTGCCAGGCCATCACTCGACTGATATCCGACTGTGGACCGACAAGTTGGGCGTCAGTGCGAGAGTGACACGGAGAATATCATGTGTGAAGCAACAAGACATGAAAGCTGATGGACAATTTATCGTGGATCCAACTGAATAGGATGGCAGAATAAAGAAGACAAAATGGTGGAGATGTGCTAAATGTGAAGCTTTCTGTTCCACTCGCGGAACCCCAAGGAACAATAATAAACGTAATCATAAAACAAAATACGAAAATTATTCATAATATGTATAATACAATTTCTTTTATTAAATAATCATCATAGAGAAATAGTAATCATTATTAATAAGTAGTATAATGAAATATAATAGAAATAAACTATGCAATAAGTATATATATATAATTTTCTCTTTAGGTGTTTTATTCTACGTGCAAAATCACTCAAAAATCAAAAGTTTCGATTAATATTAAAAAAAGAGGGGGGTGGCGGAGGGTGGATTGAAAGAAGTATAGAAAAATATTTTGGCGTGTGTCTGTTTGTGTTTGCGTGTGCGTTTGTCTATTTGCTTTTCAGAAATTTGAGTCTGGCTTAATTGTGGTCTGGAAGACTAGTCTTAGTAAGGGAGAGAGAGTGAGTGAGATCACATGTGTTATGCAACAAGTCATTCAGAAGGGTAACAATAATAATAATAATGATAAAATCTTATAAAACAGGTAGTACTAGTAGATGAGAGTTACTCTCCAATTACATACATAGTGACACACTATGTTTTTATTCCCTAGATGTCTTTGTTTTCATACGGTTTTGTGTTGTACTCACAGAGTGATTACTTTTTGGTCGATAAACGCCTTTCTCCAACTTGACTGGATTCTGTTTTGTCAACAATGTCTGTGGTTGTTGTTGTTGTGGGAATTGGTCATTATTTGTAGGTCTTGATGAATTCTCTTGTAATAAATAACTATTTGTCCGGGATATTCTTTTACTATGATCTGTTGTGTGACTAAGATTCGATGATGGTGGGCGTGTATTATACGAGACTGGTCTTTGACGTGGACGTGTTTGTCCATTCGATTGATTTTCTTGACGAGATTCTGATAGGTGACGTCGTCTTTTCATCTCTCCCCCTGCTGCTGTTGGCGGGGGTTTAGAATAATAATGCGATTGTGACAGTTCAGATAAAGGTCTATTCCTCTGCTGTTGTTGCTGTTGGAGATATTGTTGAGATTGTTGTTCATGTTCAATCGATTTTTGTAAATTTGTTTTGTATCTTTTATTCCCCTTCGCCATCTTCGATTTCAACGGTGCAGCTAACTGAGATATCTGTTCACCAAATACTGGATCACAAGTACCACTGTTGTTAAAAGCACGTTTAGGCAGTGTTGTTGCATAACTAAGACTATTCATCGATGGATAATAGTTCAAAATACTTCCTGGTCGTTGTTGTTGCTGTTCTAGTGATCTATGCGTTGTATTCGTCAGCACTGATTGTGATTGATTCCAATTGGTTAAACCACCATAGAATTGTCCATTTTTAAATTTCCCGCCATCATCATTTTGTTCAATTGTATCAATGTCTTTATGCGCCATACATAAACCACACAGTGTTGTTTTACGTCGAGATTTTGAATACACATATAGATACACTTGTAATAATATAAATCCTAATAGCTGTACTAAGACAACGACCAGTAAACACGGAAGGAAGTACCATGATTCAGGATATTCATAATAATCATACCATAGTCCAATCATAATTGAATTTTCTAAGTAGTATAAAAAGTAGTATATTAAATATCGTGTTCGTGTGTATTTAACTTCAGCATTTATAAATTCATATAAACTAATATAAGAGTGGATTAAATCAGACAGAAAATTTCCGCAGACATCACCACGTTGCTAAAAATGATAAAATAGAATAAAATAATAATATTTAGATATATACATATATGAAAACTAATTGAGGCAACATATATATATATTAAAAAATTTCTTTAAGTTATAGGATTTCAATATATTAAATATTCCCATAGTAAAGTTTAGAACAACACAATTAAGCGAACAATATTGCTGTTTTCAATTAGACCTCATCAGACTTAACTCTAATATATATATATATATATATATATATAATATATAGAAACATATGAAAACATCGGAGAAAAAACCGGAGACTCTGACTGCACGTAAGAAACCTTTATTTATTAAGTTACAATTTAACGGTGATTTATCAAGTGAGATTCTATTCCAAAGACTTTCAAGGAGTATACGAAGAATATTTTATGCAGCACACCTATGTTTGTCATTCTCTAGCTGACGAATGATTGGGACGCAAACGAAGGATAGTTTTGCCACATTTATGTGCATTTATCAATTCAACTGCACCTGTGGAGACAGTTATGTTGGGCGTACTACTAGACAGTTTAGATAACGTGTTAGTGAACATCTCCCGTCATCGTGGTTTGACAAAGGACAGACAAAAACAATCCGTAGCCCAATTTTGTCACACTTAATTGATAGTGGTCATATAATCGAGAAAACGAAAGCCTTCAAAGTAATTCATCGTATCCCACCGAATCTTTCCAATAGACTTCGTATTCGCCTAGTGCACATAGCTGAGGAGATAGGCATTCAAACTGTTAAACCTAAACTATGCATTCAAAAGAAGTTCGTACAGCCATTATCCCTCCCTTGGCCTATTAAGACATAACCAACTAATGACTTCTACACCACCCTTTGTTTATATTTTCAACCCCTTTCTTATCACCCCTTAATCTTATCTTCATTATAAACGTATTTCATTTCCTTCCCTTAAAATCTAACATTACTTAATCGGCTCATTTGTTTTTACTAGCCTTTATCGACTACTTCCATCTGAACAGTTGTTTGTTTAATCATACTGTTTTTTCATTATTCGTGTTATCACAGATCGCCTCACTTTTTCATCCTTATTATTGATAAGACCATTTCTATTATTACTATAATTATTATTATCATTACTACTATTATGACTAATTGCACAATTTATATTCACCATCGTATTATCCTATAGACAAAACACCATGATTGGTTTATATTTGAATTATTATTTGTAGGCATATAGGATTTCATTGTGAACTGACATTGGTTAGAGAATTATTGGAAAGACTGGAAGTACTTCCGGACAGCCGTCTAGTGCTAACTGGGATCTTTTCAGCACCCATCGGAGCTAGAAATATCGAGACCTTCAGGTTACAAGACAAGTTGGTAAACCACTAAACCACTGGGATCTAATCTAACGGCCACCTTATGAATTCCAATTTCTGCTAATTCATGCACGATATAGCGTGACTGCAACTAGTCAATGTCATCGGTAGCGAGTATTGTCCTCACACCTGACCTGGTTTTATACCCAACTGGTCATGACCTCCCACTAGAATCCACCCAAGTAACTACGTACCTGAATTGGGCCAGTCGTTCGGTGTCGGTTTGCAGGGATCTGAATAGTTACATGATTTCATCATAAGCTGACATTGGTTAGAGAACCACACTGGAACACCAGGACGAGGCAGCTGTCCAAAACTCCCAGGTTTTCCAGTGGTTCTACAACCAATGTCAGCTCATAATGAAATCCTGTAACCATTCAGATCCCTGCAAACCAACATTTGAATTACTTTAAGTGTTATACATATCCGAATTTTTAACACGATTGTGTCACATGTCAGTTAATGCTTCTATATGGTTCGAAGACTTCGTCAACGCGTCACCGAAAGCTTGCTGACGACAAAGGCGATGAAGATATCTATTAATGCGGTTAAGAATCGCCATCGATGGTGCACATGCCTCAGTTTCCTTATTTCCTCCCTTTATGAAAGTAACAGCAAGTGCAGAGAGTTGAATGATGTTGACAATTAAGCTTAATTGCTTTCTGGATGATCTCCTCCATTTATTCTATCCATATTTTTCTCATATATATACATATTGTCGTTTTATTGTTTTTGTGTGGCGCATCTCTTTTCTTTCTTTCTACATGACTTACCATCTTCGAACGACATTAATTTTGTCAAATATGTTGATGACCTCACAGTATCTTTACCTGTCAAATGTCAAAGCGACTGCTCTAAACTTAATGGCTTTCTGTCAGAAATCAGCCAGTGGTCCAAGGAAAACGGTCTTACCCTAAACCCCTCCAAATGCCAAACAGTCAATTTCACCTTTAGGCATAAATCCGACATAAACAAACTGGTTGGCTCTCACGAGGTATGCAACATAGATGGCACTGAAATAGAAACCAAATCGGAAATTAAATACCTAGGCGTCATTCTATCTGCTGATCTCTCCTGGTCGTCTCATATCTTGACGATTTCTAAGAAAATATTCCGTCTTACCTTCTACACCAAGAAGTTAAGACATTCTGGTATAACCCAACCCTTACTCCTACAATTCGTTAATTCTCGCATTCTGCCTATTATTCTCTATTGTTCCCCCTTAGTTTTCCCCGGGCTACTGAAGAAAGACTAAAACATATTACGTAGGATGTTAAAGGTTGTCAGCAGGGTAAGCAACGTGCCACTTAACCAGCTTGTTAATATTCTAGTCGACAGGCACTTGGACTCATGTGAAAAATGGTCTAAATCCATTCTATCTAACTCACACCACCCTCTTCATTCACAACTCTCCTCTTGCATGTCATCAGGTAAAACCAGAAGCCTATATAGAAAACCAAATGCTCGCACCAGCAAGTACAAAATCTCAACCATACCCTACTTAAGTCGTGTTCTGTGCGATATAGAAAGCATTAGGCGTGTACCTATAATTCATTAAATAGTCAGTAGTACAACTGGATCTCGTCTTTCCACCTCATATCATTAATAGGTACAACATTTTCTTTCTTTCTTTTCCTTTTCTCTCTCTTTTTTCTCTGTTATGTTCTGCTTTGTTTGTTTCTTCCGCTTACGCCAGTAAATATGACAGCTCCAACTTTTTAACACCTTCAAACACTGTTCAACTTTGGCTTTGCTACCGACATACCAATAAGTTGTTGTCATAATGAACTGAGACTTCCTTAATCTATGTAGAATTTTATTTATTGTTAATGTACTAACTGGATGCAATACTGTAGTGAAATGCTGAGAATTCCATTCTATATCACAAGTACTGTTTTGGAATAAAGCAAATTATTATTACTATTATTGATCATAAGTGGCCCATCAGTACCGCGGCGTAATGCTTTCCTCACGCACAAACCTCCCTCTTCGCCTGACTTATAACAAACTAAGCCAGATTTATGAGTGCCTGAGTCAGGAATCCAAATCCAGAGCACGTAAATGAATGGCTAGCATTCTACCAGTGAACCACCGACGCTAACCAGAATGTACAGGACAATTGTTTCGTCCCTGTTTGGGTCTCATCATCATCGTCAGTATGCATCTATGATCCCACCATAGGTGGTCAAATCCCAAACCTTCAGGTTGAAACGTGAGCTTGTTGTCCATTCTGGCATTGTTCAGTATTACACAAACTTCTTGTCATCACTACTTCTGAGGTGATTTTACAGATTAATTTGAGATATCGTGCTATATACTACTTATATCGGCTGTTATAAGTAGTGTATGTATAACATTTAAAATTAATCACATATATTTTAAGAATAGTAACGGAAAGAAATACACACAATAAACTTACTTTTCTCCCGCTTCTTTCAACAGAATCATACCGACCAGTATATACTCTTGCAACAATAAATGATATTAAAACAATAATAAAATGTCCGCCTAAAACAGCCAATATGATTGGATAAAATCTTCCAGTGAATAAAGCAATTGAAAAACAACGTAATGTAATATGAATAAGATGTGTAAAGAATAGGAGAATTAAACCTGCGACATGAACTTGTCCAATTCCACGTTCAAATTTCAATTCACTTTGTTGATATTCAGCTGGATAAAAGTGTGTGAAACTTGTACTTAACCATAACATACTGAATGCTGCGCAGATGAAAAGAACTATTGCTAAAAGTAACAAAATAGAAAGAGGAATATGGAGCTGATATAATAATAATAATTTGCTTTATTCCAGAAACAATACTAGTGGTACAGTGTAGAATTTTCAGCCCATATCTACAATATTTGCATCTAATTTTATTCAACGTTTAAAAGGAATATTTTCAAAAAATAAAAAGATAAATAAATAAAATATAAAGACAACAACAGCAAACAAAAAAAAACTACAAAAAACACAAAATAATTTTTAAAAATGCGAAAAAATACCAAGAAGTAGAATGGAAAATAAACAGTATATAATGGCAACTCAGTACTGGATAGTGGAGGCAATGATATGATTATGCATGGTGACAGTAAAGCTATAGTCATACAAGAAGTTATGAAATGATATTTAAGAATGTTTATCGCCAAGATGATCAGTTAATTTGGTTGAAACAACTCTAAACAATCATAAAATAACATTTCAGGGTTTTTTTATTGTCAGGTCTAATGCAGTGTTTGTAGTGGTAGTGTGAGTAAACCTGCATAATACAAAATTTTTCAAGGTGGTGACAATGGCGTTGATAACCAAGATTGTCAGTTTATTATTGCCGTAAAAAATAAGAAAAAACAACCACAAAAATTAATAATTACATGATGGTCTATGACAGGAATATTTTGTACTACTCATAGTGCTAATATAGTCGGAACCAGTAGGAGTGTATAGGATATTTTGATTGGACACTAGTAACTAGTGTGATGTGTCTAGTGGCTACATTGCAAACCTGACTGATAGAATTCAATCTGCACCAAAGAAAGGACTGGACACATAACACTAGTTACTAGTGTCCAATCAAAGTATCCAGTACGGTCCTACAGGAGGTCAGTCGCGAACCCGAATAACTCAGTGGTAACGTCTCTGACTGCAGCCTTCACTGGGTGACACCGTGGGTTCGAATCTCAGAAGAAACATGAGTTCCTTCAAGGTTGCAGATACGCCTTGCTGACTGGTGAGTGCCAACTAGCACAAACCTAGGTAAAAACACAGTTTTCTGTTCAGCGGAGAAATTTCTTTTCAACGACTTCATTTTCAAGCTGTACAGTCGTATTTATATTACAGAAAAGGTCATTAAGTGGCACTAAATAATTGCTCAGTCAATATACATATATGTGATAAGAATAACGATAATTAAAATGCTATAAGGGGTAGAGTTGAAGTGGATAAATTACAAAATTATTAAAGATTGTTTTATAAGTGAATCGAAATAAAAATGTTCTTAAAAAATGTCAAATATTGTCTAAAAATTTTAAAAAATTAGGAGTACGATTACGATAAGAATGAAGATGTGAAGTGAAGTGGAAAGAATTCAAATGGTAAAATAAAAAGTAGAAAGAACATTACTATGACAAATGTAAAGAAAGGGGTTTGACAAAACGTTTTTGAACACATAATTTAGGTTTCTGTTCATGTATAGCTAAAGCTTCGGCTATGCATAAGTGAAAAAACGTAAACTTTTGGATCGATTCGATTTTTTGCCATGTAGATAACTTTGAAAGATGAATCACGTGGGGCTAAATGACCTGACTGTAACAGGTGATCACAAATAGACGACTTCGCAGTTCTACGTTCTCCTTTCATTAACCAGACTGGATAGTGTTCAGCTACACGTTTTCGGAGATTACGCTTACAACGTCCAATATAAACAGCTCCACAATAGCAGGTAAAAGAGTAAATACACATGGATGTGGACAAAAGCGGTAATCTATGCTTGACGCATTGTCTAATCATATTTCGGCTGGTAAAAACTAGTTGTAAGTCAGCTGCAGGAAAAGTACGTTTAATACATTCAGATAAACGATTTTTAATCAATTCCGAAATGGTGTCACCTTTGAATGCCAGACTCATAAACAGTTTCTTCTTTGGCACTGTAATTTGTCTGGGGGCGTGTTCTTTCTTGATGTTACGTTCGATAAACCTTGTAGGATAACCATTATTAAGGAGATTTGATCGAAGGTTATCTAGTTCACTATCGATTGTCTCTGCAGAGCAGATTTTACGAATTCTGGTACAAGGCTTTCTGTGGCCGATTGCCTCCAACCATCCAATATCATCATATATGAGTGTCATTGATCAAATACAATCAGATGAGAAATAAGACGAGTGTTTTTATGGTCGTAATAAGTAACTTGTTAGAATGTTATGATGTACGTGAATTGAAATAGAATTTTAAGATTATTTATTATCCTCCTCTGATTTGACTGGCTGGTGGTAATAATATCTTCCATATCTCTGATATTTGCATTGAGTGATTTCTGTTGCATGTGTTATGTTGGGTGTAGACTGAATGAACCAGGATTCAGTAATCAATCTCTCTCTCTACTTGGTTATTAGAGTTTTAACCCTCTCCCAGCCTATTGTGCGATTGTTTGTTAATGCTCTCATGTATATAAATGAAGTAAAAAGTTATGTGAGTGACTTGATATGATTATGAGCAATAGTTTGTGCTCGAAACGTTGTCATCAGTAAATATAACTGTATAACACTGTATGATTTATCAAAATAAACTCGTATCTATAATGGAGTATTATTATTATTCCCTTGGGTTTCGAGTAGAACACTGTGCTTCATCAGCCCATCGCCATTGCACTGTATTCTGTGCCGTCACTTTTAGCTGTTCTGCACTCAGCATAAACAAAAAGATTTGGATTTTCAACACAAATGTGAAGTCAGCCAGTACTTCTTTACTGGTCAGTGCGTTATGAAAAGGATTTCCAACAAGTTACGGAGTTTTATCAACAGCTGCCACCTTCGCTGGCTGGCTCCATACTGAAGATCAAATGGCTGGCTGGCTGGTCGGAATGAATTAGCAGCAATAAACTCTAAAGTGGAACAAACCAACAGGCGAGAGCCGATTGCTCAACAAATATATGGGAGAAAATGGAGATGGATCAGGCATACGTTGAGGAGACCGCCAAATGACATCGAGCACAATGCAGGCCATCACTCGAGTAGAATCCCAATGGGAATCGAAGAGGAGGTCCTCGGTGCGAGGGTGAGATGGAGGACGTAGTGTGAGGAGGAGGAGATGAGAGAGTTTGGACAATAGTGGGGCCAGATGGAGAGGACAGCAGAAAATAGAACAAAGTGGAGATGTGTTGTTGAAGTCCTATGCTCCACTCGGAACCCAAAGGAATAATAATAATAATTTTTAAATGATTCCGCGATTGCTCATAAACGTTCATCCTCTCCTCACAGGACCTGTCTAATGTTACCTTCGGACGCCCAACTCGCTTTGATGTCCTCATCAGTTCCGTCCGCCTGTAGTTGAAACGATGCTTCCCAGGTAGGTGGGTAGGTAGGTAAAGGAGGTTGCTTCTTTCAGATTTCTCCCATTTATGCTGGCTGATTGTTGTCTGTTGATGTTGTCGCTGCTGATGGCCAGGAATCTTCATAAGCTCTATTTCCTCCATGTTCACCTGAATTCCTTCCCATCCTTGATGCTTCTTCTGCCAACTTGTTGCTTTTCATCACATGCATATCTTCTAGTTTGTGGAAAATCAGACATATATCAACAATTTACCTCACCCCTGCTAAAGAAACTTCAGAACGATAAGTCTCTAAACTAACTAGTATTTACTAACCTGAACTTTGTATTACAATTAAAAGCTAGAACATAGTGAGCTGTGGTTTTACATCACCTCTTCAACTGCTGACACTGACTCATAAGTCTTAACCAAAACGGTTGATTGCCATCAAGAAACTGTACCATACTTCATTCTTAAAGGGGGGAATTATATCCGGAGTGGTTTAGGGGAGAAGTCTCTGATAGTTTCTAAAAAAAGGGACAGAATTCCCCGGTTTAACACACTAACCTACAGACTAACTGGAGACATTTTGCACCACATTATTCTTGTTTCTTTTCGTCAGGAGCGGGACTTAGTGCTTTAACAGCATATATACATTTAGTTCTGTTTTCTAAAATTCTTTTTAACTGGCTTCAAGAATGCCTATAAGGTATAATTTCCTTTTTGCATGAATCCCTCCATGTCACCCTCAGACACCGAACTCATAGCTTTCCATTCGGGCTCCACTCGAAAGGTTTGACTGACATATGGTGTCATTCAACAGTCTTATTCCAGTGTGTCCGGTCCAAATGCATTTCTTCTGGTTTATTTGTTCAGCATTAAGTGCTTGATTGGTTGCTCATCCTGCCAGAGTTTCGTGTTGCTGACCCTTTCTGGCCATCTCAGCTTCAATATGGAGTTTGTTGCCAATTCATTTTATAACATTTTTCCTTTATTTTATTCCTTTACGATCGACAGCGTCGATCGAGAGGTGCATTGGCAACTACTTCGCTACTACGGGGTGCCACCGACAATGAGACATCTCATCCAACAGCTGTACGATAATGCTGCATGCCAAGTAATCCACAACGGGAAACTCACCGAATCCTTCGAAGTGAGGACGGGAGCAAGACAAGCTGGCTGCCTACTATCTCCAATGATTTTCCTGATTGCAGTAGATTGGATAATGCGACAAACAGCGGGCAACGAAGAAACAGACATAAAATGGACCCACACAAAAACTTGGAGGATCTGGACTTCGCCGATGATATATGTCTGATTTCCCACAAACTGGAAGATTTGCAAGTGATGAAAAGCAACAAGTTGGCAGAAGAAGCATCAAAGATAGGCCTTCAGGTGAACAAAGATAAAACAGAGGTGATGAAAATTCCTGGCCAACACCACCAACAGCAACAACAACAGACAACAATCAGCATAAATCGGAGGAACCAGAAAGAAACAACCTCCTTCACCTACCTACCTGGGAAGCATCGTTTCAACTACAGGCGGAACTGACGGGGATATCAAAGCAAGAATCGGAAAAGCAAGACAAGCTTTCACTACTCTCAAGTCTGTGTGGAGGTCAACAGCACTACTCAGCATCAAAAATAAGATCCGGATTTTCAACTCCAATGTGAAGTCAGTGCTACTATACGGATCAGAGACTTGCACAGCGCATCATAAAG